ATGATTGGGTAGGAGTTTCTCAGTTAGTTAAGCTCATGAAGGGCATGTTCATCGTCTGTAATTTTCCGATGTGGCAATCTAACACACCAAAACCATCTCCATCTTCTTCATCTGGTTCTAGAATCAGCCCGGCACTTCTTCTGAATAGTTTTTGTACACTTATGTTGCTTATTATTTGGATTATTAATGTTGTTGCTTTGGTCATGTGGGAGGCTGATTTGCTTTGCTCTTTTTACAGTGACTATCACCTGTTAACTTGGAAGCAAAACAACAATAGGGAGGTCTAGCAGCTACTGTTTAGAGATTAGCAGAAGCCGAAGTTGGAATTTGAGCTCTGTATATGTTTACTGTTCCGTCTTAGTGTCTTTTTTATTGCGGACTATGGAAAAAAAATGGGGAGTTGAATGCTTTGAGAGGTTTTATTTTTTGGTTGAAAGAGTAGTTTTAGAAATTTTAAGACTTTAAGCCAGAGTTTTTTTTTTTTTGTTCAAATGGAAATGGTACTTTTTGTGTATCATATTAGCACTTTCTTCTATCTTCTATGACTAATATTTATAAACTCCATGTCAGTTTGCTTCTTTTGATTTGGATTTTTGTTCTACTTCTTTAAATTGAGAGTGTTGTTTCCAAAGTTGGTAACCATGCTGTTAAAATATTACTTCTATAAGGTGATCAAATATTACTAGGGAAGGACACTTATTCTAACATTGCAAAATTCATACAACACTAGTTCCAATTCGGGGCCAGCTTTTTTTTTTTCCGTCAATGCTTTTAAACGATGACTATATTTTTTCCCATTTTGACTTTTGGAGCAAACATTTTAAACTTTGAGAATAAATTACGGAAAAAATATACTACCTCCGTCCCAGAGTATTTGTACATTTTCATTTTTAGACACCATGCAATACACTTCTTTAATCTATTTTATCTTGTAATTTGTATATTAAAAACTTATAGAAATTATATATTAATAATCTATATGTTAAGACAAATCAAACAAGATCACACATTGCTATATTTAGGCTTACACATTGAGAGAATTTGATGAGTCAAAGTGCTTAGATGAACAGTTCCAAAAGTCAAAAGTGGACGAATATACTGGGATGAAGGGAGTATTAGATTGTGATAAAAATTTAAGAGTAAAAAGAATTGACACCGGGCACTCCTCATCCATTTCCTTCTGCAAATGCGCCACAAAATTGCCTTCTTGTTAATAACCCAATACATGGGTATAAAAAATTGATGAGCTTTCTCAATATATTTGGTGAGCTTTGTAGTTAAGTTTGGTGAGCTTTCTAGTAATGTTTGGTGAGTTTTCTAGTTATGTTTGGTGAGCTTTCTTAATATATTTGGTGAGCTTTCTCAATATATGTGGTGAGCTTTCTAGTAATGTTTGGTAAGCTTTCTAAATATGTTCGGTGAGCTTTCTAGTAATGTTTGGTGAGCTTTCTCAATATATGTGGTGAGCTTTCTCAATATTTTTGGTGAGCTTTATAGTTAAGTTTGGTGAGCTTTGTAGTTAAGTTTGGTGAGCTTTCTCAATATATGTGGTGAGCTTTCATGTAAAAAGCAAAGTCTTAGTCTTAAATTATTTGGTGAGCTTTCTTGTAATGTTTGGTGAGATTTGTAGTTAAGTTTGGTGAGCTTTGTAGTTAAGTTTGGTGAGCTTTCTCAATATATTTGGTAAGCTTTCATGCAAAAAACAAAGTCTTAGTCTAAAATAATTTTGGTGAGCTTCCTAGTAATGTTTGGTGAGCTTTCTTAATATATGTGGTGAGCTTTCTCAATATAATTGGTGAGTTTTCATGTAAAAAACAAAGTCTTAGTCTTAAATTATTTGGTGAGCTTTCATGTAAAAAACAAAGTCTTAGTCTTAAATTATTTGGTGAGCTTTC